TTTTTAATCTACTTATGAATTTCATTGTTATTCTTTCTCTCATTATTCTTTTCTCTAGTTCCATAAAGTAATTCTTTGGTGGTTTGATTGGTGTAACAATAAATAGGTAAATTAATTTAAGTATTATTATTACTGTATTGACTTGTCTTGCTCATGAGCAATTACTATTTTCCCAATAATTTGGGACTGTCTTTATTTCTATAAACAGTGGCTTTTAGTTGCATTTATGTAGTTTTTGCATATGTGTTTCCTGTTTTTTTAAACCTCATATTTGACTTCCTCTTTCTAGTTTTTTTTTCTTTTAAGTATTTCTAGAGACCAGGTAGCCTATTTTGTTACTGTGTATAATTTTTGTTACTTAGTAGTTGCATTTATTTGCCATTCTTGAGTTTCTACTGTTTGAGATATTTGCAAATCAAATAATCTGCTCAATCTGTTTTTTATAGGAGTGCTTCAGATATCTCTCTCTTATTGAACAACTGTCTTTCTTCATTGATGGTTAGGTTTGGGTTGGCAGGGCACAACATTTTGGGTTTTCCCTAGGGTTCCTTTGCTTTTTGAAATATATTATTATTTTCTCTTTTCTGGCTTCTAGTGGGTCCAGAATAGTCTTGTATTATTTTAATTTCCTTTCCTTTATAGTATTTGAAGGTCTTTCTCCTAGTTGCTTTCAGAAGTTATTGTTTGTCATTGGAATTGTCAAATTTAACCACTGAGCAGGAGTGGGAGGGCTTCTAGAGTGGAAAAGGGAGGAAGGGAGACAGCTTAGGGACCTGACAGGAATTTGATTCTTGAATCTGAAGGGCTGTCAGATCAGATGAAGCAGCCCTGTGGAAAGAGCCCAGAAGAGGATTGTAGAGTCCCTCCTCTTCTTCCTATGCCAGAACCTCAGAAAGTGGGAGAGGTAAATTAAAGGAAGAAAGCAGAAGTAGCAGAGTACCTACAGCAAAAGGGTCATTAGAGACTTTGAGAGTTGCCTTTATCTCCTGAGGGATTCTGGCTTCTGCCCAGCCCTGACCCTGCTCAGTCAGCACCTTAGAGTGGACTTGAACACACCTAACATACCATGTAGACATGCTTATGGTCAGAGAGAAGACTTGAACAGAGGTATTCTTGACTCTGAAGTTGTCTCTTTATCCACTATTCCATGTTGCTTCTCATCTTTATTTTCTTCTACAAACAAATGTTTCATAGCTATCATAAGACATGATCTTATGAATCACAGAGTCCCAGCACTTTATGGTCTTCAGAGGGGAAACCTGTATATGAAATTGAAATCATTTCTACGACACCTCTGATAAGTGGTAATTCAGCCTACACTCAGAAAACATCAATGACGGGCCACTTACTACCTCCTAAAAGAGCTCGTCCCACTTTTGGACAGCTGTAGTTGTAATTTTTTCATTATGTAATGGGAAAATTACCTCCTTGCTACTTCTATACATTGGTCTCGTGTCTGCCCATCAGGGCCAACCCAAGAAATTCTAATCTTCCCCCCTTCCACACAATAGCTCTTCCAAAACTTGGATAACCAGTGTCCCTCTTAAACCTTCTCCAAGCTAAACCTTCCCAATTTCATCAACTAATCTTTGTCTGAGTTTGTCCATCTTCATGGAGCATGCTCAGAGGGAAGAGACATACTTAGTACTTAGAACACTGATAGGGGTTTCAAAGCCTAGTTACTAAAAGCTTTTCAGAAGGGAAACAGGAAAAAAAAAGAGTCCTCCGCAAATGATGAGGACCTAGAGCTCTGAACACAAGATTCAAGAAAATTTCCTATTCAGGAAGTTTTTAGGTAGACAATTCCCCTTCTAGCTAATCTATGTTATTTGCTAGGTACTTGTGTCTTTAATCCCCAATCCATTAAACATTAGACTACAACTTATAGGGGCTGTTTACTTCTGATCCTTTCTGACTCCTCAAAACATTGATTCTGTAAAAAAACGATATGGTCAGATTTCTGCAGAGATGGTAAGAAACTAATTTGTGTTTAAGAGAAAGTGAGTCATAACCTCATTTCAATTCAGTAAGCCTTAATTTAATTCTGAGTTAAATTCCCTAGTGCTTTGAGGGAGAGAACTCTAAACCTGACAAATCAAGGAGTCTTTTTGCTTCTCATTCAGAAACTTATAAAGTAATGGGGAAGAGGGATCACATGGATAAATGAAATCCAGAGACAATTCCAAATTCTCATTGTTGTCTATGTTAGTTTCATTCTCTCCATATTGAATTTATACTCTCAGGCTGGCTTCCCACAGACACTTAGCATGCTTCCAAACCACTTCTCCCAGTGGGCTGGGTGTACATAAAAAGCAAACCCATTTTAACACAAACCAAAAAAAAAGGCATAGTTGTAAAGGCCAAACTGCTGCCCTCACCTGAGTTTGTTAAACTCACACAGAACCTTCTAAGCCTAATGACTGTTGTATTAATTTCTGTGTTGGATTGTCCTTATTGTTATTTTTCTCTTTTAGTCAACAATTGACTGTACCACAAAATGGGCTGATCCGGTCCATTCCATCTGTTCTTTCTGGTGGAGGGATTCATAAGCAGGAGAATGACCAAGAGCCTAGAGGAAGAAGAAATAAACTCCACATCACATAATGAGTACCCAAGGAACCAAGAATCGACATCAATGAAGTAACCACCATGGTGAACTGTCACAGTCAATTAGGGCTCTGAGCCAATAGTAATAAAGTATTTAAGTGAATGTATTAGACCTAAAGATGTAATCTTACATGTGTCTCATAAATGAAACTGAATAAATTATTAATATAAATTCCTATGTTGCCAAATTTTCTATGGGATTTCAATATGACTTCCAATATTTTTGGTGGCTACTAGTTTAAATGGGTGGTACTCCAAGTGGAGTTCTTTCTTCTAAGAAGAAGTCAGTTGCTCACTTGTTATATATTATAACATTGTCTCTGGGAGGCAAATGGGATAATGGAAAGACTTGGAGACAGAATACTTGGGTCCCAGTCTTGAGTCTACAACTTTCCAGTTAGTGTTCTTGAGGGTATATATGCATGACCTTGGGCAAGTCATTTTGTCTCAGTTTCCTCATTGGTAAAATGAGGAATTAATGCTGCTACTTATCTGTGACTAAGAAATGTCAGCTTCAGAGGAAATAACATACACACTCAATTGGGTATGGAAATCTATCTTACCCTACGGGAAAATGAGGGTGCGGGGAAGAGGACAAGAGAGCAGGAGGATAATAGAGAGGAGGGCAGACTGGGAGAGGAAGTAATCAGAAGCAAACACTTCTAAGGAGGGACAGGGTCAAAAGAGAGAATAGAATACATGGGGAGCAGGAGAGGATTAAGGGAAATATACTTAGTTTTTTACAACATGACTACTATGGAAGTGTTTTGCATGACTGCACATGTATAACTTGTATCAAGTTGATTGCTTTCTCGATGAGGGTGAGTGGGGAGGGAGGAAGGGAGAAAATTTGGAACCCAAAATTTTAAAAACAAATGTTAAAAAAATTGTTTTCACATGCAAATGGGAAATAAGACATATAGGAAATGAGGTATAGAAATCTATCCTGCCCTACAGGAAAACTGAAGGAGAAGGGGATAAGAGAAGGGGAGGGAAAGATAGAAGGGAAGGCAGATTAGGGGAAGGGGTATTCAGAATGCATGCCATCTTGGGGTGGGGGGAGGGATGAGATGGGGAGAAAAGTTGGAACTCATCTTGTGGAAGTGAATGTTGAAAACTAAAAAATAAATTAATAAAAAAAGTCAACTTCAGCACATATCACACTTAATATTTGCTATTACTCGAAGCACTGTGCTAGGGTCTAGGGGAGATGCAACAATCAAGGACATGGACCTTGTGGGGCAGCCGTAAGAAACAGTACTTTGTTTAGGCTCGTTGACTTTTTATTTCATATGAACTTGTTGATATGATGATCATTCTTCTGATAGCACAGCTGAATCATCGTTCACTATCGTTTTCCTAAAGCTTTGCTTAGTGATGGTAGTTGGATATCAGTGCTTTCACTGTATCAGCTCTTGCTTTCCCACGACTGTCTAAATGTGGTTTCACAGTAATGTTAAGCAAACTATGCATATTTCACCTCCCTATGGATGCAGCTAATGGCAGACATAACCCAAAATTGGTTTGATTGTGCCTTTCCCCCCATACTGTAAAAGTCAAGTTGGCAAAAATACATGAAAAAGGTTAAATTATGAGCTGCATAATAAATGAATAAGGCTTGATCAGGTCCATGTTTAAAAAAAAACCCCTCATATTCTTCTGGTCATGCTGTATGGTCGTGGGTCATAAAATAGCCTTTAAAGAACTTAAGTTGAAGGTCACTTAGAGGGTAATGAAATGAGGCATAGTGGGTATGAGTAGGCTACTAGACATCACCAATCTTGAATTGTGCAGAAGGATTGTAAAACATGCCATCAGAGAGATGCATGCTTAGAAAACCAGGTGGGCTTACCATGTTTCCAGAGTGGGGGGTTTCTTTTAGACAGCCTTCATGTCCCATTGCTGTCTAGGGTCAGGAGATATAGATAAAGAACCTTAGAAAATTGAGTGAACTGCCTTGTATTGGATTTATGGAAGCATGTGGATGAGATTCATGAGATGGAAAAAAAGGCACAGACAAGTTGTGATCTGCCTTGTTGGAAGGAATCCCCATGTTGATGAGATTGTGGAGCCACTGAAGTAGGTTCAGACTCAACATTTGTCCCTAAAGCCCCTTGTGTTTGCCTTTCCTATTTGTTCCATTGTTTTGTGACTCCCTTCTCCATTCATTCATGTTTGTCTACTGGACCACTATGGCCGAAATATTTATTTTCTAGAGGTGGGCTTGCAGGCAGTGAGCCTTTCAGTACTTAGATGGGCTCTTTCTTAGACAGTAGACCATCGATTGCCAGGACTGTACTTGTAGCCTTTCCAGTCTGATAGACCCTGTCTATTAGTCAGTTGACAAGCATTTATTAAGTGCTTTCTGCATACCAGGCACAGTGGCAGGGCTTAGCCAGGGTTACCTCCATGTCCTGATGAGGTATCAGGGTGGTGTTTTGGAAGTGGTTTAAATTCATGTTCCACTGAAGTGCTAATACATTTTTAACAGCCTCTGTGTTAGAGTTCTTCGTATAAATACACCACACAGATACATTCATGTCATAATCAAGTCATAATCTTAGTACTCTTAAACTGGTTCTCTTTAATACTTGTAAGTTTCTCAATCCATTTGTTTGTGGCAACACCAGCAATGATGTTAGTGAACTAATTCTGAATATCTTTTGACAGGTAATGAGTCTTCAGGTAGTGACCAAAGTGAAGGCAGAAGAGGAAGGAAGAAGGAAGAATTGCCTTGATAGGGGCAGTCTTCCTGACTGAGAAAGAATTTGGGATAAATGTCAATACTGGTCGTGACCTCCAGGGACTGCCTCTATGCATAGGAGCTATAGGAAGGAAATCTCTGTAAATTGGTAGATTAACTCCTGCTCCTGCCATGACGGTGGGGATCCATTTTCCACTCTATTCTGGAAGAGAGAAAAAGGAATCTAGGGAGAATGTGTGGGGATTTAAACCCTTTCTGTCCTGTTTCCCATTTTATCAGGGGTTCCCTAAGCTCTTCCCGTTCCCTTTCCCTGGAATGAACCTGTGTTGATTCTGCATGAAATGGCTGTTCTACAGGAGTACTATCCATGGTTTTGGGTAGCTCCACCTGTTTCCTTTTGCTGGGTGGGAGGTAAGAAGAGGTCCTCATGTTTCAGACTTTGCTGTGCAAGACAAAGATAAAGAGACATAGGCTTCGATAATGTATCAATTACCTATGATAATAAAAGTACACTTTTAGTCTTGAATTCCCTTTTTTTGTGGGATCTAATGCATAGCATAACATGTATATTCCATCAGACTGGCTCCAAATAGTAATATGAAAGTTCTGTTTTGAAACTAGAAAAGACTATCTAGATCATCTAATCCAACACCTTTATTTCACAAGTAAGGAAAGTGACACTCAGAGAGATGATTGAACATACCAAGGTCATATGACTAGTTAGTGTTAGGGCAGTTTTCCTGCCTTCTGGTAGAGGGCTTTATCCACTCCAACACCTACTAGCTCTAAATATGTGATCTTATGTTGCCTTGTTATCAGTTTCATTTTAAAAAGTACTCAAGGAACAGGAACAGTTTCTGACCTGTGGATGTAACATTTGTTCCTTCTTCCTCTTAAGCTGTTATTAAAACTCTGAGGAAGCAAACTTCCAAAATCAACATATTCAGAAACATGTGTAAATCTGTTATGACTTCATCGCCAATTTTGACAGATATTTCATATTATATGGGTGCACATTCTCCATTGAAAACAAGAAATCTGAACAGAGCAGCAAAGGAAGACCCTTATGGCATTGGAGGCCATGTGTGAATCACTAAGTATTCTACGATTTGGACTTGTACCCAGAGGTCATGGTGGGGAAGTTAAATAAGATCCTGAAGAATACAGGTGAATAATAATTCCATAGTTAGGGCATTGAAAGTTCCAACTGTTTTTGAAATATTACCATTTTAGATTTCCATAAAGAAATCAATGGATTATATGGAGAATATTTAATGAGCTTGATGGAGGTCTTCAGTGCTACGGCTTGCCCTTGGTGATTTAGAATGTATTTCATGTTGATTTTCCAAGGCTTAAGAGGGTATTAGATTCTACTCATGGAACCAAGAGTCTGTTCACTTGTTCTCTGGTTTTTGAATGCTGTTTTTATCCAAGGTAGCATGTTACACCTAGAATGAATGTTAATTTCAAAGACTTTACCATTTCTGCACCCTTACCAAAAAAAAAAAAACACAACCCCCCCAAAAAAACCCCCTGCTCTGAAACACACACACACAAAGAGATGAAACAAAAGTCACAAAACTACTTGCATTGGTTCTAAACAGCTATGGGATTTTCAAAGACAAAAGCCTCTTTGGAATGATTCTATTAAAAAAAACCCAATTTTTTGTTTTAGTGTAATTTTCTGATTGGTCAAGTGTTTTCATTCCTTTTTATAAAATGTTCAAATTAGAAAATTTTGGTATATTTAATAAAATTAACACTTTATGATTTGTGACATGCTTTACAAATATTATTTCATTTTATCCTTATGATAACCTTGGAAGGGAGGTACCATTATTATCCCCATTTTACAGATGAAGAACTGAGGCAAGCAACTTGCCCAGGGGTTACACAGTTATTAAGTATCTGAGGCCAGATATGAAGTCAGCTCTTTCTGATTGTAGGTCCAGTGCCACCTAGCTCCTAAAAGTACAATGCCACCTAGTCGCCAAGTCTTGTATATTTACAAGATACCACATTTATTCATGGAATTGTAAATATCCAGTTTCTGAGATGAAAGTAGGAGTGTTACTAATGGGTAAGACATTTTAAATTGAAAACCTCATTTAAATAAAAAGCCTGTTTTGTTAGATGAATGAATATCTGGGCCAATATAATGGGCCTCTAATAAATATTTTAAGGATCCATGATTTCATCTGTGCTAATACTTATGAAAATGAGCAGAATAGATTGAGAACTGCCCTCAAAGCAAAGTATGCTTGGGTTTGCCACTTCTAACACACACTAGCTATGTGAACACGGGCAAGTCATTTTACCATACGAAGTGTCTCTCTAAGTTACAGAAAAAGGGTTACCCTTGACTGATAGAGGGGGGTTTCCTCTGCCAAGGATTCCCTATACCAATGAAACCATCGTCCAGTCCCTCGTCCTTATATTTACTACCATGATGCATATCATGACCTCTCCAGGCCTTTATATGCTGTTCGATGAGTTTTGGTCCTTTCTTCCCTGACCTGTTCCATTCATCGCCTGTTGGCCATCATGCTGGTGATAAGCATCTCTGAACTTACTAGAGTGACCCTCAGATAATACTTGGAGACCATTCCATTCCAAAAGCAGAACAGTGTCCTTACATTTCTCTTAATGAAGAAAAGGAGTTTAAAATCCCTTTCCTTTAAAAAAAAAGCTTCTGATGTGAATGACAAATATTATTTATGAAATAATTTACATCTTTCCCTCCCCTTTAATTTTCCTCTGTTAAAAGCAAGTGAATGGGACTGGAAATTTGGCTTCAGTACAGGAGTGTATGTGGGGGGATTGCTACTTCCAAAATAAGCAGAAAATATCCCTGCTCACCTCAAACTCAGAAGAGGCCTGGAATAATGGAATAAGCTCAAATATCAGAGCAAAAACAGAGAAGTGGCTCAAGAACTTATCTTTTGAGATGAGAGAGGGCAAAATGTTCAACCTTTTGACTGAAGCCTTTTGTCAGATGAACAATCAACATAGTTAATTTTTTTCCTCCATGAGGATGGTGTGATGTGATGGATGATATAAGATGGTGTAGGAAAATAAAGGCTTTTGTCTTTAAGTCAAGCAGAAGCATATAGTTTCTTTTAATAACTAGTGGGATGATTTCATATCATTAGGTTTGCCTGACTGGAGTTTCTATCCCTCTTTGGCTCTTATGATATTCCATTCTGTATCATAGTTACTGCAATAATAATGATTAATAATAATAATAATAATAATGATGCAGGGAGGCAGTATGCTATAGTTGATAGAGGGCCGACTTTGGATGATTTGGGTTCAGGTCCTACATCTGACTTGTATGACCACAGTCAAAACACTTAACCCCTCACATAATTTTCTAAGGGAGTTCTCTAAGACTAATATTACATGAAAAGTGACTTACAGATGAGTTTCTACTTTGTATTGGCAGAGGCAATTTCCACACTGGGAGTGCCAACATGTATAAAAATCAGAGTTTGAATCAGTATTTTTCCCTCTAATGATAGCTCACATTTGTTTGGCCCTTATTTTAAAAGACTTTTTTCACCCCAGCTCGAGGCAGGTAGTCTGTGTTATTGTCATCCCAATACGACTTGTGTGCAGCCACATAGCCACTAAGTGTCAGAACGATAACTCAGGCTGGGGTAGCTTGATTTCAGTTCTAGGACTCTTTGTACATGCTCTTGCTTGTTATAAGTGAGAGAGAAGACAGCAAAGATTTAAGGATCCCTGGAAACCTGGGGATCTGTGAACTTGTTCTGAAACATGCTTTGGTAACTTATATTTCAGTATAATTGACTACCATCGTGATCCTAATGCATTTTATTTTGTGCATTTAAGAACATTATTCTGAGAAAGGATCCATCAGCCTGCCAAAGGTATCCATGACACAAAATATGAAGAAGCCTGCATCAGAGACAGCCAAAGTGCTATATTCCTGGAGATCCTGAAAGAATCAGAGAAGAGCTGTCTGCCCCATTGGGTAGAGTTTTTTTTTTAAAGTTATTTATGGAACCCTTGAATGAATAATTTGCAGGATGAGATATAGAGAGGGGTGTGTGTGTGTGTGTGTGTGTGTGTATAATATATATATTTACACACACATATGTATATATATATGAGGTATCTATTCAATCTGTGAGGAGTATCCACGTATATAAGATCTTGGGCTCACTGAATTGTTTAAGAAAGTATGGTTTCTTATATAGCCATCCATTCATTCACCCAGCAATCATTTATTAAGCATCTACTGTATGTATTCTGTACTGCTAGGGAGCAGCTAGGTGGTACAGTGGTTAGAGCGCTAGGCCTGGAGTCAGGAAGACTTGAGTTTAAATCTGGCTTTAGACACCTACTAGATGTGTGTCCTTGGCCTAGTTATGTAACCTGTTTGCTTTAATCCGCTGGAAAAGGAAATGACAAACCACTCTAATATATTTGCCGAGAAAATCCCATGGGCAATGTGGTCCATGGGGTTGCAAAGAGTTGGACACAACTGAATCGACTGAATGATGAACAACAGCAGGTGAAGTAGAAGGTTTAGATGAGCCACTGTCCCTGCTGTGTTGGAGGTTACAGTCTAGAAGGGAGATAAGATCACTAGAGGAAACAAGCTAAGCATACTATAACACACAACTGTATGTAATTTACTAGACTACCCAATATTACATGAAAAGTGACTTACAGAGTTACAAAATTAAGTGCTATGTGAGCTCCAAAAAGAAAGGCCGTGTTATCTCTCCATTAAAGGCTAGTATTATCATTCCATTTGTCAGATTATAAACTCCATCAGCATAAGGGGCCATGAATTCTTAATCTTTGAATGAAAGTCTACAAGCATGTACTGTTAACCATTAAATGTATTTGTAGTCTTACTGATGTGAGTTCTCTGCTAGTGAAGATAGCAACCTGTCTACACCTTCTCCTCCCACACATTCTTGTCCCCATCCTCTCATAGGTCCTACAGAGGGGGCCTGCCCATTTTGCCAGAGGCCATTCTGTCCCCGGATCTCTGGACATTTCACAAATACTGGTGGAGGAAGCATACAGATGCCCATTTGTTATTGCTTACTCTCTCCACGTGACTGGCCTACCTTCTTTTCCTATATTTTATATACTTTTCTGATAGGCTCTCTTATATGCTTCTCTGGAGCAGTCTTTTATTTGTAATATCCTGTAGCTTACTCACACTCACCATGTGCCTCTCCAGTGCCTATTAGATGAACTCCAAGTCTGTCAGACTGATATGCCATGATTCACAGCTATCAGGAGAATGCCGATGCTAAAAAGATGAGTCTTTTTTTCAGGGAGAAGCATGGAGTCATTACAAGGATGGTGTGGTATTTAAATGACATCTGGCTCATTTTCCTCCTATTCAGTTTTGGACCCAGATGGCTATCCGTTTGCATTTTCTGATAAAGTTATACA